GAAACCAGTTTAGATGGGTCTCATGTATACCTGCCAGGTCAGGTAATTGCTTTTATCTGCACCTCATGATATATTGCAGGAGTTCCCAATCCCCAGGCCACGGCCCAGCACCAGTCCGCAGGAGGGCTGGGTGGCTGCCAGGCTGGAAGTGACCACAGACTGGCAAACTGCAGACTGGAAGTGACTGGTATTCTGTGGACCGGCAGCCAACCCTTTTTTACACTGAGTATAAAAAAGGGTTGGCTACCTGCCCGCAGTATGCTAGTCAGTGGTGGTCCGCAGCTTGCCAGTCCATGGTCACTTCCAGTCCATGGCTTGCCGGTCCTTAGCCTAAAATGGTTGGGAACCCCTGATATATTGTATTAAAGGCTGCTGATAGATCAAGTAAGATCAGCAGAACATAGTTTCCCTGACAATCTCCAAGTGAAGATTGTCAACCAAGGCCACAAGTGCAATTTCCATGCTGTATCACGGTTGAGAGCCAGACTGGCAAGGATCCAGGAATCCAATAGCATCCAGATATACCTGTTGAGAAACCATCCATTCAGTGACCTTCCCTAAAAAAGTGAAGTTGGCAGTGGGTAATAACTAGCATCATATGACAGTTCCTTGAGCATCAGCCAGGCAGTCACAAACTTAACATCTGGCACTCCCCTCCTAGGTTCTGGAGGGGGTTGACAACCCCTGTCACCAATGGTCCCAGTCTCCCTTGGCTGGCTTTTAGAAGTCAGGTTGGGCATAGGTCCAATTGACAACTGGTTACCCCCTCTCCTATCCTCCTCTCCCCCCAAGCAGATCCTCTGCATCAGCGGACAGCAGCAATTGCAACCGATCCATATACACATAGATTTCATAGATTTCATAGACATCAGGGCTGGAAGGGACCTCAGAAGATCATCGAGTCCAGCCCCCCGCCCAAAGGGCAGGAAGTCAGCTGGGGTCATAGGATCCCAGCAAGATAAGCATCCAGTTTCATCTTGAAGGTGTTCAATGAAGGCGCTTGAACCACCTCCGGTGGCAGGCTGTTCCAGACCTTGGGGGCTCGGACAGTAAAGAAGTTCTTCCTTATGTCCAGCCTGAAACGATCTTGAAGTAGTTTGTGAACTGAACACATGACAAGACTGAGCTTCCCACAGCTAGAGATGTAATTACCAATTTTAAAAATAATCCATTTAACCTGTTATAATTACAGTGGTTAAACGATTAATCGGTATGACACCCCCCTGGCCTGGCCCTTGTGGGGCTGCTTCAGCCTGGCCTGCAAGGCTCTCCTGCCCAGCCTAGCACCAGCGGAGCACTTCCAGCCCCCTGAGTTGTGGCAGAGATGTAGTGGCTCCCTGGAGCTCTGGTTCCTCAGGGCCACACCTCACGATGAGCCAGGTGGGCTAGCGGGGCACACCATGGAGCTGAGCCACAGGCCCAGAGGAGCTGCCCTGTGCTCCCTTACCTCCATCTTGCCCCTACCAGGCCCTGCCGCCTCCGCAGGTCTGGCTAGTGGGTGTGTTGCTGCCACCGGCTGCTGCAGCAGCAATTGCAGCAACCAAAGGTGCTGCATCTTGCTGCCCAGAGAGGGAGCTGAGCTGCCTTTTAGACAGCAAAGTAGGGGGAAACGGGGGACTCATACCTAATAGTTAGGCTTTGTGGACCAGGCCCAGTACAGCCATTTGCCGCCCCCCAGCTGCCTGTTGCAAGCAGCCTGGGCTCTGTGGTGGACAGCAGGTGCCTGCCCAGAGCCTGGGCTGCTTGTGGCAGGTGGCTTGGAGGCTGTAGGTGGCTGCACCAGGGTCCGCAGAGCCTAGCTACAGGTACTAGCATCCCTCCCTCCCGCTTCCCTTCAATACTCTCCTCCCTCCTTCCCTCCTGCCTGCCTTGCCGCCTTCTGGGTTTTGCTGGGGCACTGTGCAGCTTCTCTTCCTTGCTAGATTGTAACCCAGCCTGCGCAAAACGATAACTGGTAAACTACTTTGTTCTCACTGGGCTTATCAGCTAAACAGTTGTTTAGTTGTTCACATCCCAGCCCTCAATCCTGAATTCTGACTGCAGCAAAAGTGCTGTGCTGGATATGGGCAATTTTGTCTGCAAAGTAGGTCATAACCAATTTAGACCTACAAACTCATTGTAGTGGACTGTAGAAGACTCAGTTTCTAGGTGAAGACCATTTGGATTAACCAGGCCGTGTGCCATGCAGATCAGTTCCATTGGACAGCATTTTGCAGATGCAATGATATGGGAAAAGAAAAGCTTCTTCACCCATGCCACTGTCACTGGTGTTGCTATGACTGTCCATTATGAAGGATCCATCCCACAAATTCAAACTTATAGCAGAAATTCTTATTGGTATCCAAGTGCATGACCTTATATTTTATACTATTGAATTTCATCCTATTTCTTTTACTCCAATCCTCAAGGTCGTCCATTTCTTTTTGTATAGTGTCCTGGTCTTCCTCTATATTAACAATGCCTCTTGCTTTGTCATCAGTAAAATACTTCCTGTGCCCAAGTTCTTAATTAATATTAATCAAGGTCGGCCTCAGGACCAGTCCTTAATAATTCTACTAGTAATCTCCTTCCAACTGATACTTCCCCTTTCATCACTGGCCATTGCTGTTTTTTTCTTGTAGCTAGTTCCTTTCATACCTTACAGTTTCTGTGCTTGTCTCCACCTTTGCTAGTTTTATTAATGTCTAACTGCTTGACTGTTGACATTCTCAACCAAACCATTTTTCTAGTGTATCAAAACTGTCAGTATCAAGCTAGGAGCATTTGTGGTAAAGTGGGAAGAGTTTATCAAAAGTTTGTTGTCTTTGAGGGGAGCATGGCAAGTTTTTTAAATAATCTAATAATATTATAATATAACTAGATTTAGGGCTGCTTTTTTGGGGAATCTCTCTTTTGGGAGGGGTGAAAAGAGGGACTACTTGAAACGGTAAAGGTGTATGGGTCAGATTTTCAAAAGTACTCAACATTGGTCTATCTATTCCTATTGAAAACAACTGAGTCAGTGAGCTATTTTGAAAATCCCAACACATTTTTTGAGAGGAGGTGGGTCACATTGTTAAAGTATGTCCTGCAGACACTGAAATTGTGAACAACTAATATCAATATCAGTCTGAAGTCTAAAGAACAGATCCAAAACAGGATTGAGGTACTTACATGTTAGGCATTAACAGAATCCAGAATCCTGTATGAGACGCTTAGGTTCCCTACCCACAGGGAGAGCTGGATGCCTCATAGTGATGAAGGACAGATGTTGAGCAGGGAGCCTCTGAGAAATCGCTAACAGGCATTGTGAAATACAGAGAGGTATATCAAATCCTGATGTGCAGAAGTTAGGCAGGCATCTTTCTCAGGACTGCAGTCAGATGCCTCTATCCATATGGGAACAAAAGCTAGAATTGTCTCCCAGTATAAGTACCTACAGCTATTCTGCAGATACCCTACAGAGGTCATGTGTTTTTTTCTTTTAAAACAAAAGGGGAAAGAGGATGGAGGCAGACACACTGCTCACCTTTTTTGGATTGCAGTTCTAAACTTAGTGGATTTAGATGCAGCTTTAGGCATGTATGGTTTTGGGGTTTTTTTGGATCTAGCCCAAAGTGTAGAAGTGACAAAAGCACTTTCATACAGAAAGATGGTGCTATAAATTAGATGTGGGGGGGGGGGGGTTTTAAGGAAATAGTTAATTCTGATTAAGCTGAAACATTAAGCTTTCTCTAATTCATACATGTCTCTGTTGCAGAGTTTTAGCAGATCAGTGAAGGTGGCAATGTATGCACCAAATGAACCTGTGCTTGATTACAACATGGTGATTATTTTTGTAATGGCAGTGGGCACTGTTGCAACTGGAGGCTATTGGGCAGGAAGCAGGGATGTGAAAAAGTAAGTAGTACAAATTGAATCCTGTGCCAAAGTTCTTAAGATCTCTTATCTTTCAAATAACAGTTAGTGAATGAAAACCAGAGAAATGGAACGTACTTCTGCTGTTACTACAGTGGCTGTCTACAGATCTGGAATTGAAGTATGTCAGAGGCCTAACACTGACAATTTGGGAATTATTACAGTATTAACTGCTTGTGCTACTCTAGCGTATCAACTTAAAAAATAAAAAATGAGATGGCTTTTTATGAGTCTTGGCATAGAGAGAAGTTCACTTGTCTACTTGAAAATGGGGATGAATTATATTACACAATATGATGTGTATTATCTTTTCTTATTTTAAATGCAGCGTTTGTCATCAAGCCATTGTTAAAATGTGTACATTCTCTTTTCTGACGGAGAGAAATGATTTGTGTAGTTTAGATTTTTAAGTGTTCTCACTTACAAGCATTCTAAATTGGTCATGACTTACTCTGTAATAATTTGTTGTCTATTCAGTGCAACTAGTCGGTCCAGGATAATAATGTTGGCACAGTTAAGACAGATTATACCTGACACATTTCCTTCTCGCATAAATTATAGACTTTAGTCTTCTGTTGGGTTCTGCAGAGGCAGATCCCTTAGTGTAGTTCCTTGTGCGTTTAATAGGGCTCTGTGTAAGCAAAGGTGTGTTGACTAAGATTAGAACCCTTGCTCTGCTGCAGGAGGAAGCATCTAATTCTAGACATGCTGCTCTCTTTCAGGCGATATATGAAGCACAAACGTGATGATGGGGCAGAGAAACATGAAGATGAAACTGTTGATGTCACTCCGATCATGATCTGTGTATTTGTGGTGATGTGCTGCTCAATGCTCGTCCTTCTTTATTTCTTCTATGACCAATTAGGTGCTTTTTGCAATATTTCTATTAAACTGTTTTATTTTGTTCCTATTAGACTACTGTTGCTCAGCACTCCTAGTTTGAAAAGTGACTTAAAATGGCCATGGAATCACCAAGATTCTTTTTGTTTAGAGTTGTACCTAATTATCCTAGTGATTAATACCATATTATTACATCTGTAGCACTGAAGATCTAGAGCTGTTGTTTGAGGCTGAACTTCTTTTCCGGCATGTACATCAACAAGGACTGTTCGCTCCCACTGCAGGGCCAGGTTCAGCCCTCAGTTACCCTTCTGTAGCTTTGTTAAAGTAAATGAATTTGCAGAGGATTTAACTGGCACCAGAATTTGGGTAGTAGATTCTAGACTGGTGGTGATTTCTAGTTACTTCTCAGAGTAGAATGCACTTCAGAAATCAGTTTCTAATTTAAAATGCATAATGCTCACAAAAGCCTCTTTCTTAGGAGCATTTACTGGTCCATCTACGTGGTAGTCTTCAATACAGAAACAGTGCCCTCTTGTGGTTACAAAAAATGAAGTTACTGAGGCACATTTTTCATTTGTAATGCTACAAATTCAGGGGAATTTTGTAACACTATAGAAATGTAGTGTGCAATGCTTGTCCATAGGTACAAGTGCCCACTAGCCTGGAGTGAAAAAAAACAGAGCAGGAGCATGCACTGGGCACTGCTGGCATTCTGCAGCCAGAGGTCAGTGAACAGAAGTCTCACCATGTCTTGCAGTGGTCCCAGTCTTGGGAGGTTCCCAAGGTCAGTGCAGAGGAAAGCACTGATTGCCTGCTAGTCTGGAGACTGCCCCCCTCCGGGAGTGCGGAGCTACAGCATGCCTGGTAAGTGTCCGTTCCAAAGGTTCGTCTTCTACAGGCCAAGCCTGGAACGGAAACTTGCCACCTGCATGCCTGTGCCCCTAGTCCATCAGAGAAGGGAGCTGTTGTGCCTGCTCTTCTTGTGCAGGAGGAGAATCTAGGGCTACCACTATATGTGTGGTCTACTCCTTTAGCACCTTTGTGGGATACTAAGCAACACTATGTATGTGCTTGGTGAGATGATCCAGGCCTTGAAAGGCCTATCCTTGAGTGTTTCTCCCTGCTTGTGTCATCTTCCAATACCTGTGTGGCTAATGAAGACAATGTCATGAGGGACAGCATGGAAACCAGCCTCCTCTGGGACCAGACTCTGGGTACAGGACGTGAGTACCAGCTGGTTGGAGCACATCATCCTGGGGTTCTTGGATAACAAGCAGTGACAGTAGAACTTCCAGATGTTCCAGGCCACCTTCATGAAGAGCTATGCTGAGCTGGCCCCCATCCTCAAATGGGAGGGCATCAGGATAAAGCCCCCCCTTCACCGTTGGGAAGCACATTTCCAGTGCCACCTGGAAGCTCACAACTCCAGACAACCTCTGGTCCATTGCCAGCTAGTTCAGTGTGAGCATTTCAGCCGTCAGAGTGGCTCTGTGGAACAGGTACATGGCTGTGCCGCCAGTGCTGGCACCATGCTTCATCTGCTTCACCAACCTGATGGAGGTCATGGCCAGATTTAACTGGATTGAACTTGCTGAACTGCATCAGTGTCATAAGCAGAACTCATCCCCATCATGTTCTCTGCCCACCACAGCTCAGAGTATGTCACAAGTCCTTTTCTATCATGCTTCAGGGTCTCATGGACCACCAGGAGTTTGTCTCATCTGGTTGGAGAAGGTTCACAACTCTGGGGTCTTCCACAACTCTGGCCTACTGGATCTTGTAGAGTGGGGAGAGTCCACCTACAGAGCTCTAATAATTTGGGACCCAGCCCACACATACCTCCCCTGGCTCGGGGAGCTGTGCACAGAAGGAACAGTTCAATGACCTCCTCATCAGTTGCCACGCGACTGTGAAGTGTGTCTTTGAGCGCCTGAAAGTGCACTGGAGGCTGCTAGAGATATGCCTTGATGCCAACAAGCACTATCTGCTGTACTTCATCACCTCCATCTGTGTCCTGCACAGGATCTGAGAGGCCAAGGGGCAGGTTTTCTACAATGCCTGGGTGAAGGAGCACAGCACCTCAAGATTTGCCATGGTATGCCTCCATCTAAGTGAGTGTCTAGAGCACAGCAACCACCAGGAAGCTTGTCAGGGAAGACCTGGCAGACCACCTCCCAGTACTCAAGACATGGAGTGGGAGGGGGTCATGGGAGAGTAGGAGGCAAAGAAGTCTCAGGTCTGTTTCTCTTTTGCAGAACCAACACTTTTTAAAAACATTTTAAACCATTAAATAACCTCTTTACTTTCCTAAAGTACTTAACCCCCTGCTCCCTCATTATCCCAGGCAAGAACAGACTTGGGTTTTCTTGGAAACATCTATGTTTCCAAACAGGCAGCAGCCTCAGTGTTTTGGGGTTTTTTTGGGGGGGGGGGGTTCGTTATTTTTTTTTTTGTTGGGTTTTTTGTTTTTTTTTTTTTACCTTTTAATAAAATGCTGAGGGAAAGGGGGGGGCAGGGGTGGGGGGGAAGGGGGAGTGAGGACGAGTGAAGTTGGATGGCGAGGCATTCAGCCAAGTGGTTGGCAGCCTTGGGTGTCATGGTAGCCTGAGGAGAAGGGCTTGGGCCAGGGCTGTGGGAAGCTTTGGTAGCCGATTCGATTCAGAGGAGATTCGGCCCGATCTGGCCGCCGAATCTCCAAATACAACTGGGAGAGCCATTAATCTCCAAATCAAACCAGAAGCCTCCGAATCAATTCAGAGAGATTCAGAGATTCAGCCGTAGCCTGTACAGGCAGGCACTTGGCAGTGGCGCGAGGGGCACGAGCCCAGCCTTCTGCTGGCAGCCCTGGGAGAAGCTGCGGCTCATCTGGCTGCCCCCCTGCCCCCTCCCTCCTGGTCAGGGTGAGGCAAGCAGTGCTGGCATCCCTGGGAGAAGGCATAGGGGCTATGGGGAATGATCAGGCGCTGGGGAAATGAACGGGGGCTTCCCCCCAGCTCCTGCTTCGATCCCTCAGCCCCCATGGCTTCTCCCGGGGCTGCCAGCACTGCTTGCCTCAACCCTGCAGGGGCTGGGGGGAATGATTGGGGAGCTGGGGAATCGAACCAGGAGCTGGGGGTAAGCCCCTGATCATTCCCCCCCAGCTCCCAGTTCATTCCCCCCTAGCCCCCGGGTCTTCTCCTGGGGCTGCCAGCACTGTCTGCCTCGCCCTGGCTGGGGGGAAGCCGGAGTAGCAACTGGACAAGCTGCGGCTTTTCCCGGGGCTGCCAGCTCAAGCCGGGGCTCATCTAGCTGCTCCTGCTGGCACTGACTGCCTGTATAGTCTATGGCCAAATAAGATTCAGCGCCGAGTATCTTCATATTTGGCTGAATCGAATCACTGTCCCTCTGAATCGCCAAATTTGAATCCGAAGTCAATGCTTTCCACTTCGCACAGGCCTAGTGTGTCCTTCAGCATGGAGTGTTGTGAAATCATGGCCCTGCATGCGACCAGTGAATCAAAGGGACTTGACGAAAGGAGACTCCCAAGTGGACTTGTCAGGAGGCTCTGACTCCTCCCTGGTCTTTATCTGGGCCAGAACCTTGGCAGATGAGGAAAGGTGCTATATGCCTCGGCTCCCCATCTCTTCTGTGAAGATCAGAGACCTGGCACTGGTGCTGGACTGTAGACAGGAAATCTGGGGGCCTGCGAGTTTGTCAGTACTCTAATCAGGGCCTCAATTCATCTGCCACCACTGCTCTTTGACCAGAAGAAACGAGGCTACCAGCATCCCCTCCTTGCTCTTCCACTTCTGTCTCCTACGACAAGCCATTCTCTGCACAGAAGTCTTATTCCCCTGCCTTAGAATGTCATTGTTGCCAGAGCCTGCCAACCCGCTGGTCACAGGTGTCTGGGCTGAAAACAGCAGAGCAGCCAACCGGTCTTTGTAAATGTATTGACATTTTCTGATAAAATGGAGAACAGCGTACTAACCATTCCTCCACATGCTATTGAAATTCTGGGTGCAGGACAGTTTCTTCGCAGGGACGGCTCCTGACTGTGACGCATCTGTGGCCAGCCCCTCAAGTTTCCATTGGGGGCTGGGGTGGGAGCAACTGGTCATAGTTGAATTTCTGCCTTCTCACTGCCGAACTATGCCTTTCTTGCTGATATGTCCCTAGCAAAGGTATCCCTGTTCCAGATGCAGTTAGTTGCCTGGGTTAAAGCCACTCCCTTGTGGGCCCTGCTTGTTTTGGAGGACACAGCCCAGCCAAACTATTTTGACTCCTAGAAGGGGATTGTAAGCTACAGTGGTTCCATCAATAGGGTCGGTATCCCTTTGAATGTGAAGACCAGACCTCAAAGCTACCTGAGAACATGGTACCAGTTCTGTGCTCAGCCTGATCCACAAGTGATAAAAGTGGCCACTGACCTGGCCCGTGCCTAGAAGGCAATTCATCCCACTGCTCCCTGTCCCAGGGAGAGAACCTGTAAGTGCCATGAATGTCCAGTGCAATGCCAACTTTGAAACCCACCCCAAAGAGGTTATAAGTGCCATGACCATATTTTCCTACACATGCTTTCTATATGCTGTGCTACACCCCCTCCCAGAGGGCAGAACATTGTTCCTTTCCTTTCCCATCCCATGCCAGGACTACACATTTCCTTAAAAACCCTACCACTTCCTGCAGGTGAGAGACCTGGGAGTTGGTGCAGGCAAGGTGAAGGGGTAGACATTGGGGGAAACACATGGCATGCTAGCGAGAAAACTGCTTTCCCCATGCCCATTGCAGCCTAGAAATTGGAAGTTTTTCCAACCACTTTCCCAAGATCTTGCCAGCTCAGGACATCCCATTAAAATTACAGGGACTTTGGTTCATGTGTGGAACCAGAGTGTACTCAGGACTTTGTCAGTTCCCTGCTCAGCTCCTGGGATCACTTCTCTGTGGCTGCTACAGTCCAACTAACAGTTTGAGTCAGTGGGCACATCAAAAAAATCCCAGTGTCCAAAAAAAAAAACAAAACACTGCAAAAAAACAGCACAG